CCCCATGTTCCTGCCATTCATCAACTACGGTGGTATACGCCTCATTCCTGGTTTATATCTTGGCGACGTGATATGTCTGGTCCTCACGATCCCAGTTCAGTTCGGCATCGGAAAGCGCTTCTATGTGTCTGCATACAAATCGCTAAGCCATGGTTCTCCCACGATGGACGTTCTTGTCGTGCTTGGTACCTCGTCCGCCTTCTTTTTCAGTATCTTTTCGATGCTGGTATCACTCTTGATTTCCCCACATACCAAGCCGACAACACTCTTTGACACCAGTACTATGCTGATCACGTTTATCAGCTTGGGCCGTTACCTCGAGAACAAGGCGAAGGGTCAAACTTCCAAGGCGCTTTCTAACCTCATGTCCCTGGCCCCATCCATGACCACTATCTACGCGGATCCTATCGCTGCTGCGAAAGCTGCTGAGGACTGGGACGTCAAGGAAGAAAAGATGGAGCGCAAGTCAACTGATGGCAATGCTGTTGAAGAGAGGGTCATTGCTACCGAGCTCATCGAAGTTGGTGACGTGGTCATACTTCGCCCAGGAGACAAGCTTCCCGCTGATGGCACAGTAACACGTGGAGAATCGTACCTTGATGAGAGCATGGTTACGGGTGAAGCTATGCCCATCCTCAAGAAGAAGGGCGCATTAGTTATGGCCGGTACTGTGAACGGAAACGGACGTCTGGAATTTCTTGTTACTCGAGCCGGCCGTGATACTCAGCTCAGTCAGATTGTGCGCCTTGTCCAGGAAGCGCAGACAAGCCGCGCCCCGATCCAACGCCTTGCAGACACCGTTGCTGGTTACTTCGTCCCTATCATTATCACTCTCGGTCTCTCAACTTTCGTTGGATGGATGGTACTCAGCCACGTCCTACCCTACCCGCCTAAAGTCTTCCTCGATCACGCTAGTGGCGGAAAGTTTATGGTTTGCATCAAACTCTGCATCGCTGTCATTGTCTTCGCCTGTCCATGTGCCCTGGGTCTTGCGACACCTACCGCTGTCATGGTTGGTACTGGTGTTGGAGCTGAGCAAGGTATCCTCGTTAAGGGTGGTGCTGCTCTCGAGACTGCCACCAAAATCAACCATGTCATCTTTGACAAGACCGGCACGCTTACTGTGGGCAAGATGAGCGTATCTCAAGCCGATATACAAGGAGGCTGGGAAAGCACGGAGAAGAAGAACCTCTGGTGGACGCTCATTGGACTTGCGGAAATGGGCTCTGAGCATCCCATCGCCAAAGCCATCGTTCTCTCTGCGAAGGAGCATCTCCGTCTGGGACCTGACGGTAGCTTAGACGGCTCTGTTGGAGACTTTGAAGCTGTCGTCGGTAAAGGCATTACCGCGACGGTCGAAGCAGCCATCTCTCGCGAGCGCACCCGCTACACGATCCTTATTGGTAACACAGCCTTCCTCACCTCCAAGGGTGTCAATGTCCCGGACTTTGTTGAAGAACCTCTTACACCTGCTGCGAATGCCAATCCTCGAGGCGGGTCTCAGAACCGCTCTGCTGGCATCACCACGATTCATACCGCTATTGGTAACACCTACACTGGCACGTTGAGCTTGTCTGACACTATCAAGCCTTCGGCTCGCGCTGCAGTTCTTGCGCTATCACGTCTGGGTATATCATCTTCCATTGTTACTGGTGATACATCCGCTTCCGCCCTTGTTGTCGCAGCGGCGGTTGGCATTGACGCTTCAGACGTCCATGCTTCGTCCACACCCGCAGACAAGAAAGCTATCGTCGAAGACCTCCAGTCTCGCGGTAAAGTGATCGGCATGGTTGGGGACGGTATCAACGATTCCCCTGCGCTCGCTTCTGCCGACATTGGCATTGCCCTCTCTACTGGTACGGACGTCGCTATGGAAGCTGCGTCTATTGTTCTTATGACCAACACGGATCTTCTTGCCATTCCGGCTTCCCTAGTGCTCAGCCGTGATATCTTCTTCCGCATCAAGCTGAACCTGGCGTGGGCGTGCATGTACAACTTCATTGGTCTTCCCTTCGCAATGGGCTTCTTCCTGCCCTGGGGCCTTTCACTCCACCCAATGGCTGCTGGTGCGGCGATGGCATGCTCATCTGTCAGTGTCGTCCTCAGCTCTCTACATCTCAAGTTCTGGAGTAGACCAAGCTGGATGAAGGTCAGTGTACTCGATCCCGGTGCGCCAATCGATGAAAAGGAAACGGAAATGGAGAAGCAGAGTAAGATTGGCGTGTTCTCTACCCTCAAGGACTGGATCGGTGATGCTTGGGCTGCGAGGAAGAGGAATAAGGAGGAGACCAGCTACATGCCGTTGAGGGATATGGGAGATCAGTAGTCATGGGGCTAGCAATCGTGTTATCCTGAGGCAAGTCAGTGGGGTGGATGTTATTGTTGTTGTTGTTATCATTATTGGTGAAGCGTTTAGGATACCACCTCTTCTTGGTCTTTTCCTTAGTTATCAGTATCTTGTCGTCATCTTTCCCTGTTTCCTTTTTGGGAGTCTCTGTACATAGCTTCTGACTCCTGATATTGTTATCCCAGACTTGTCTACGAATCCAATCTGATTCGCAATAACATACTATTACCATCATGTGAAGATGAAGTATTTCACTCTAACGGGATTAATCGTCAAGACGACAGATCTACTAGAGGATCGTGATGTGATAGTCAAAGTCTTTGCCTGATGGAGTTAAATGAAGGATGGCTACCGTGCGCGTGACGATGTCGCGAAGCGCGGCGGCCAGGGTCCACCAATTGGCGTCACAAAGATAAGCCAAGTTGAACAACACAACACCGCATCGATTCCCACTAGAAGCCTTATTTGCCCTATTCGCTACCAAGGACTGCCCGGAAGAGACTTGCGACCGTAAATAGTGCCGAATAAACCTCCACATCCGCCCACAGAAACGCAAACAGGCCTGTCAATATGGGGAGGAATCGAGCCGTGTCGAATGCTTCGACGCGGAGCAGCGAGCCGCCGTTACAAGTAGGTATGGACATAATTTGAGCTTGGGAGAGCATTGCTGAGCAGACACAGGAGCTTGGGAGCATGTATGATTACTTAGCAAAGGTTGTACTGCTGGGTCCCAGCGGAGCTGGCAAGTAAGTTCACGATAAGAGTAGCACCAACGATGCATGCCGAATAACCAAGCCTCATAGATCTTGCCTCCTCCACCGCTTCGTGAAGTCTGAATGTACGCGACTTTCCCTCCTCCGCAGCCTCCAGCCCCCACTAACAACCCCCAGGGCGCGTACTATCCAGCCAAACGATCGGGGTAGAATTCTCTTCTAAAATCGTCCATATCGCCGACCGCCGTCGCTCGCCCTCTTCTTCGGCCTCGCGAAAACGAATAAAACTTCAGCTCTGGGATACCGCCGGCACAGAACGCTTCCGCTCCGTCTCACGATCCTACTACCGCGGCGCTGCTGGCGCGATCCTGGTGTACGATGTGAGCAGCTGGCGGAGCTTCGAGCAATTGAAGACGTTTCTAGATGATGCGCGAGCGCTGGCTGGACCGGACATAACAATCATACTTGCCGGCAACAAGAACGACGTTGAAGATGGTGTGCCCATAGGCATGAGTGGGGGATACAGCAGTTATGGTAGTACACCCGGTTCAGAAAGCGGACTCCCACCACCCACACCATCATCACAATCGAGTCGGACACCGAGTCTAAATGCAAATCTACATGCGAGTTATACCGTTGCGCCCGATGGCCGCGAAGTTCCAGCTGAAGTCGCATCGAGATGGGCGGGGCAGAATGGCATACCGGTAGCAGTGGAAGTTTCCGCGCTGAACGGAGAGAACGTGGAGGAGCTATTCAACCGATTAGCGCGAATGATCTTGACTAAAATTGAGCTCGGCGAGATTGATCCTGATGATCCTGCGAGTGGTATACAGTATGGTGACTTGGGTTGGGATGACGGTGGTGGAAGTATCAAGAGTGGGTTTGGAGATGACGGCGTCAGGTATCGAAGACGAGGGAAGAAAACTGGTGGGTTGGGCGAATGGGAAGACGTGTTCAGGCTTGGTGGGGGTAGTAGGAGGAGAGGAGGATGTTGCTAGCATATTGGGAAGTGGGATGCAGGCCTTCCTGCAACACGGCATCACTTGGCTTCTGGTTTATACATGCAGCATACCCCAGGTGTTTATATGTGGGTTCATAGATCGATTGACGATGTAATGTGGAATACAAGATGTTCACCTTTGTTATCCACATTAGATCCCGGTAGGTCTGTTGCAGGTTACACGTCTTCTTGCTCAGATCTACGAGCCACTTTGACATTATGCGATATGCTGGATCGCGCCCAGTTTACTATACCTCTCGATTGCACGCTACTCGGGAACTTGTCGATCACATGTAGCCCACGATGTCGGGACGCGGCGGTTTGAGGCTTAGCGCGATCTTGTAGCGATCGTGACGTTGGAAGTGTCGTCATTTTGGCGAGAGATTCATGCGTGCACGCCATCACCACTCCCACCATTGGAGCAACGCTGTTCGCATCGGGCAAAAAGCCAGCAGTACGACGAACTACAAGTTCGCAACACTCGGGACAAATCTTGAACGCGCGGAAATGCTTGAAGACGATAGAGAAAACTCTGTACCCGCTGGAACGCGTCCGAAACCTCGGCTTTCCACCTGCTTTGCCACAGCATGGATCTCACTGGCCAACTTCGGAGGTCGCGTGCTTCCGAGGATGTCCCTGGCAGTAGCGCTGCGTGTTAGCATGGGCATTTGCGTCACTGGCATGTCTTCCATGATCGATATATGCGCGAGTGTGGCCGCTTCCCCATCCAGTCTCCATTCCCATTCTATTGCACACTTAAATAGCATTACTGCGGCATTTCATTCTGACCGTCCATTTGTTCTGCATATCCACCATCGACCCATCATTTGTTGAAGTTTCCTCAATCACACTGTCGTTCTTACGGACTATTAGATCTCTCACACGCGGCCTGCCCTCGCGCCTCCCGACCGCGACAGCAAGCCCGCTTACGGCCGCGAATATGACCTGGCTTAATCGACTGAACCCAACACCGGCCTTCCCAGCGCATACGGGGCCATACAAAGTCGGTTCTGTAGACGTAGAAATACCCACAAGCGACCTAGAGAGCCCGAGTGTGAATGCGCCCCCTGGAGACCTGCCAACTATAGCTTTCCGCGTCTTCTATCCGTGTAAGCAGGACAGTAATGAGAAGGCTGTGAGATGGATCCCAAGTCCACAGAGGGAATATGTTAGTGCTTATGCGAGGTTTTTGGGTGCGAACAGCGCCTTTGCTGGAGTATTCTCGTGAGCAAATTGAGACAAGTCGCTAGCTGAACATGTCGCTGACAATTTTGTAGAGCACTACCCCAGTTGTTGTACTATATTTCCATGCCTGTACACCAAAATGCCGAACTCCTCGCACCTCCACCGAAATCCGAACGATGGCCTGTCATGATGTTCTCGCATGGTCTAGGTGGAACAAGGAATGCATACTCGCACATCTGCGGCTCGCTTGCAAGCCATGGAGTCGTAGTCGTTGCGGCAGACCATCGTGATGGCAGTTCACCTCTCGCAATCCATCATACTCCAGAAGGAAAGGAGAAGAAGAAGCGTGTAGAATACAGGTCAATCGCCCACAAGCCGAGTACAGAAACATACGAGGCAAGAGACGAGCAGTTGCGGATACGGCTATGGGAATTAGGCATGGTACACGATGCAGTGTTGAAGATCGATGAGGGCTGTCAATTGAAGAACGTAGCACAAGACCTACCCAATGGTAAGAGCATGCTGAGCATGTTCTCGAACCTGCTCAACGTTCACGAGCCGGGTGCGATCAGTTTCTCAGGCCACTCTTTCGGTGCTTGCACAATGATTCAGTTCGTCAAATCAGTTTACCACCGCCCTCAGACACATATTCCACGCTACAAGCCGCTATACACGCCATCCGCGGACTCGAGTTTAGTTCGCCAGATCACGCCACGAAACCCGGTCACTCTTCTAGATCTCTGGACCCTACCCATCCAAAGTCCTGATACTGCTTGGCTACGAAGCCAGACAATGCCATGCTATGACTCTCCTACCGGCGGCAATAATCTTCTTGCCATCGCTTCCGAGGGCTTCTTCAATTGGGCCTCGAACTTCAGAGAAACGAAGCGCATCGTCGCTAAGCCTGCTTCCTCACAATCGAGATTCCCCGAGCAGCGTGGTCCACACATCTTCTATCCAATTGCTTCTGCCCATCTCTCTCAAAGCGATTTCGGCGTCTTGTTCCCCTGGGTAACAACAAAAGTGTTCGGCGCCAAGGAGCCTGGGAGGGTGCTCAGACTCAATACCCGTGCCATCTTGCAAGTCATGCGTGAAAATGGCATACGTGTCGCAAACACAAGCGCGCGCGATCTAGAGCTCGACGAAACTATGGCCAAGAACAAGAGCCTAACACAAGACACCGCTATTCTCAGCCGAGCGAAAGACAGTGTTCGTGGATGGGTCAACCTAAGTGCGGACATGGAGAGAGATCTCGACCTTTCTGGCGCTGACAGGGTTGAGGGTAAGAGTCTGGTGGGTACACCAATGGAGAAGGTCGGTAGTGATGGTAAGGGACCAGGAGAGGCTATGGTTGAGGGCGAGGTACTAGGCCAGGTCGTTGAGGGTAATGAAAAATAAGTGTTCTCTGGTGGATGCATTTCGGCGTGGCGTTTCGCATAGCGTTTTTTTCCTTCTTGTTATGTTGATAGACATACCCAAGCATATAGAGATGAAATGGTAAGCGATGTTGTTTAGTTCAAACAGCTCAAAATGTGGTCGACCGCTCCCAGTTCAGTTTTCACACAAATTATAGCATACCGTGGTTTTTTTTGGAATATATCGATATGCTGAGTACACCAGTCCGTTTAACATGCCGCTGCCCTCTTCGTGTCTTAAACACACTCTAGATATCTTATCAGAAAACATCACCTGTAACGTCTTCGAAGTGTATTGTCTGGTCGATATTACCTAGGCATTCCCTAGGCAGTTGTATGTGAGCTTGCCCAGGCGCTGTACAGTTCAACTGGTAAGGCTACACTTATTGGGATTGAAAGCCTTCCTTCCGTCTGCATGTTAGTAGGATATGAGCATTGCTATTATGTGTTACATGGCTGCCCTCCTAGGCTTCCATGTCTTGCTTTGGTTCTGTCCCAGTTCGGCTCTTTTCCTGCGCGGACTACGATAATACTGCCTGCACTGACGATTCATCATACGTATCGGCTTTTGAGATCATTTCACACGCAATATGATTCCAACATGTATATAGTGCGCCCAATTTGACCACGGTACCACGACGACTACCACGGTACCTCTGTGACCGGGTAAACTCCAACGAAACACAAATAAAGCTCTTACACTCCTGTGATTCACTAAAGCACAAAACTGAACAACGTTGCTCTGCAAATCCTGTGCCTTTAGCAGACCTAAAGGTGCAGCTCCATCCTTGCGGACTGCCCAATCAGTGATTTTAGCGTAAAACACGTCCTGAACATGTAAGCCAATCACAATTCAGGGATACAAGGCTAGCGCGACACTTGTCATCGCGACCTGGAGAACGATTGTGCTCAACAAATGTCTCACAAACTTCATTATCACTTCGGCTTCAATCTAGTCAACAGTCATCCCGAACTCTTAAACACAATCTGAATTGTTGACAACAGCAACTGTTTCAACGTTTCCTACCATAAATCCTAGGTTCGAGTTAGGTCTAGCAAAATCCCTAACATTACCTGCCCTTATGCAGTTGTAAGACAACCACGACCAAGGTCTATTACATTCTGTATCGCCTATGAGGGGCTTCAGATATTTACAATCGTTGCTCTTCTCATCTACCCCGCACTTCGCCATTAGCAGCCTATTACCAGCGCAAGCCGACTACGTAACAAACGCACTTCGGCGCCTAACATTGTAAACAAACAGGACTACTACAACTCAAAAGACACCAACCACACTCAATATGCCACCCTCAGAAAGTCAGAATATAGCAGAACCACCAGCATTGCTGTTGGAGAAAGCTCAAAATGCTGAAAAGGCGTCCGTTGTAGGGCCAGACGCGTGGTCGAGGATCATACAAAAGACGAGAGCACATGCTGAAGCGAACAGCGAAGAGCATCAGAACAGCATGCGCTTACTAGGCAAGAAGATGAACGAACTCCGAGCGAAGTATGATTTGAATCCATTCAAGAATGTGGAGCAACAACCATCTACGTCAGATGATTTCGTGGTGCAGCCAAAAGCCATCATACCAGCACAGAATGGCATCAAGCGTAAAGCCTCAACCCAAGCCCATATACCAGAGGATCCTCGCGCTAAAAAGCCAAGGGTTCAGAAGACGCAGTCATCGCAAGAAGACATCTCTAAAAAGGCGAAGGCAGATGCAGAGAAGCAAGCGAAATGTCGAGACGCACAGCAGAAGAAAGACGATGCGTATAAAAAACCCATGCAAAACGTGGAGGAGCGAGCGGATAAGGTTGAGGAACTGAGAAGACCAAAGGACACTCTCAAAGAGAAGCCAGCCAGCGCAATGTTTGCCGAAGCGTCGACTACAGGCATATCACCGGACCGGACGGCTGCACAAGCAACAACGGCTATAGTAGCAGCAAACAAGCCAGATACCACGAACACCATACCATCAAACGTCTTACCTGTTTCGGAAAGCAATACAGACAGATATGTCGTACGAGCACCGCTGCCAGAATGGTATACATCTATCTCCATGAAGGGTCATATGATGGAGGCGATGAGCAAGAAGCGACCCCCAGAGCTCACTTCACTAGAAGCCCTCAAAACTTGTATAAGACAATGCGAAGACACGAATTCCGCTATTCAGCTTGACAAGCTATATGATGCTCTTCGCGACCATGTACACAAGGCTGAAATACGACTTGAGGTCAATCGCTTCCTCGTCAGGAAGGCTAACATGCTGAGCCCTGAATACGGACTTCCCCGCATCTTCAGAGCAGGAACAGATTTTCCATGGGATTTGAAAGCAGATGCATATCAATTGTACAACCGCTGGTGGAAGAACGACCTGAACCAAGATATTCTCCGCGGTATCGTATCTAACAAAACTGGAAACCGCACGAGTGACCGCCTCGACGAAACCTACCGTAAACGGTTCTCCATCGATGCGAAACACTACGGGAATGGCGACTTCGTCCAAGGGCAGTGGTGGCCAACTCAGCTCTGTACTGTCCGTGATGGGGCTCATGGCTCAGCCCAAGGCGGTATCTACGGTGAAAAGGAGCGCGGTGCCTACTCCATTGTCCTCTCAGGCGGCAATGGATATCAGGACGTCGACAACGGCGACGTCATCGATTACTCCGGCACACCAGGCAAGAATTCCACGCCTACAGAGAACACTATCCATCTCCTCAAATCCGCTGATCTGGGTAACCAGATCAGAGTTGTTCGCTCTGCGCAGCTCAACAAGAAGAACAAGTACCGGCCCGAGCTAGGCTTGAGGTATGATGGTCTGTATCGGGTGACGAGTTATACAAAGACTGATCAGGAAACGGCGATGTATAAGTTTCGGCTAGAGAGGTGTGAAGGTCAGGATCCAATCCGGTTCGAAGGGAAGGCAAAGCGACCGAGTTTCTACGAGGTCAAGGAGTATGAGAGACTGAAGGATAAGGTGTGATAGTGTGATAGGACTATCAGAGTAGATGGACAACATGTTTGCTTATGAGAAGGTAAATCGGTCACGGTGAGGGCGTAATTTGACTTGTCTCGAGTGGTATTCACCGTCTCCCTGCTGTTACATTTGGTTTGGATTGGACCGGCAAGGTTGTAGGTTTGATGGGTGTGGTGTCTCTTTTGTCTCCTTCTTTTGTTGGTTGGGCCGTTTCCTACTCAAAAATACCAATTATCCACTTTCTAAAAGCAAGAGGATATTCTAGTCGACAGCACACATGTTTTGTTGCTAATCTATGAAGTGGCTCATCCATTCTCAATTGTGCTCTCTTATCAGAACTGGAACCCTAATAGTATATACAAACATCTTCATTACCGCCTCAACAAGAAAAAACGTATACTTCTAGAATAGACTGTTCGTGATATATTTCTAGGTACACCTCATTAAAAGAAAACAAGTTTCTTCTTGGGCATCTATAGATAGGAACTTCAGCCACCTCGTAAGGAATCTGCTAAGATGGATCCTTTTACTGATATCATCTGGATCACGTTGCTTGCCGTCGCGTTAGTCACGTAATGACCAAAAACGGAAGAGTTGTTTGGGAAAACCTCTGCGCTCTATTGCAGTGATGCTATCGCATATGGTGTATCTATACCGACAAATTTGCGATACCCAACACCAAACATCCGATACAGCATTCGATTAAATGAACAAAACCATCTACTCGTCGTCACTCTCCTCTTCGTCGTCATCATCCATCTCCAGGTCTTCGTCGCTTAGGCCGTCGAGATCAACCTCCTCCTCCTCCTCCTCCTCATCTTCATCATCATCTTCCGCGGCAAATACCTCACCGTTACTCTTCTCGTACTTTTCAGATTCCTTCCTCTTCCTGTCCTCCGTTTTCCTTGCTTCCTCGAGCAACTTTTGCTTCTGCTCTCTGCTCTTCCTTTGTCCTGCCACAAATGCACCTAGCGGGCTCTTATCCCATTCTACGTCCTTCAAAAAGCTTTCCACACCTGCGCGGTTGTTGGGCGCAAACTCGACCTTGTTGCGCTTCTCTTCAACCCATCGAGAGTTTGCTTCTAGCTTCTGGACAAGGAGTGCGATAAGCGAGGATACTTTGGTGTTCTTGTTTCCGCTGCTCTTCTTGGTGATCGCCTTCACCCATCGCTTGAGCATAACAATGACGGGAAGTGCGAGTTCAGGGAAAGCAATGTTCTTGGTCCAAAGGATGAAGAATTCGGCCAGAAGCTCGGCGACCTGCTCACCGATGCCGTCTTGGTAGATGCGCGTTCGGAGGAAAGCTTTTGATGCGCGGATACTGATGCTGAAGTCGAGAGCTTTCAGCGTGCTGGGCTTCGGGGGCTTCTTCATCTCTGCGGAGTTGAGGACTTCGACAAGGGCAGGCGCCAAGGGTATGTAGGTCGATGTCGCTTGAGCGATACGAAGGAGCGATCGGATGAGCTGGAAACGGAGAGGGAAGTATTGCGACGTCGGAATAAGGCGCATGGCACCTAGCGTGACCTGAACAACGGGATATATGAGGGGTCGTAAAGGTGATGGCTTTCCAGCCTCTGCTTCCCTGAGCGACTCGCAATGCATTGAGATGACTCGTGACCAGAAGTCTAGCGAGTGAATGTACTGCCAGTTGTATACGGTCTTGTATGAGTCCTTTGTCTTGTTGGTGATGCTTGTGCGCAGATGTATTGCGAGTTGGCGGATGAAGCCAAAGCCGGTGGTGTAGCCGACGGTAGGATCGATGCCCCAAAGCTCAGCCGCGGTGTTCTTCATCAGGTTGATACCCTGGATGTTGTGGATTGTGGTATTCCTTGCACTCTTGACAAGACCTTGGTAAACCTGCTTCAAGACAGCCTCGCGAATACTTGGGTCTGCGATGACGACGAGTCTTCGCAGTACCAAGAAAGCCGACACTCTTGTTCCGTCATTGTTGGCGCTGTCGGACCAGACCGACGCGACAGACCGAATAACCTCACGTACAACCTTCTTGAAGGATAGAATGTATGGCAGCATGTTGGAGAGCGAGTCTAGTGTCATCTGTAGGGTCTTGGAATCGGACAGGTTCTCAAGGAGATGATGTATCGAGACAGTATGCGACTTGAGGAGAGGCGTGAGGGTGCGGAACTTCTTTGAGTCGGTAGGAACGCGACTGTGGTTGTTAGTGACCATACGGAAGAATTGCTGTGGGTAACTTACATCCTGCCACCAGCGCTCTCCTTGACAGGCAAGTGATGTTGGAGTACCTTGGGTACTAAGTGAAGAGTTGTTACTTGCACTTGGTGGTAGACTGTGTATTGTCAGCCTCGTGTCATATATAGAAAGTGAGTTGCATACCATCTGGGTCAGTTATGGAGTACTTGTATGTTTTGGAGCTCTCCGAGTCGTTCATGTGTGATGCAGCGCGGAAGGCCAGAACCACCTCCTTCATGGCGCGCAGGGAATGTTTTGATTCCATGGAGGCTTTCCATTTTTGGACCGTCTTCAGGTTGAGCTCATTGCCCGAATCTTCGTCGTCGTCGTCTTCAACAGCGGCTTTCTGCTTCTTTCTCGGAGTGGCCTCGTCTTCACTAGCGGACAGAGCGTCAATCTCTGCAAGGTCGGCGTCTTCGGCAAAGTCCAAGAGTTCCGCATCGTTCTCCTTGAGGTACTTGTAGAACTCGGGGTCCTTCTCTGCCAAACCAGCAAGCTGCTCCTTGTGTGTGTCGACGTCGTCACCTGAGTCGCTGTCGGAGCCAGACTCGTCAGCGCCGCTGGGCGCATCTTGCATGTCTTCGTCTGAGGCTTGGTCGGCATCCTCGTCGACTGGTGTGCGTTTGCGCTTGCCCGTCTTTGGCTTGGTCGACTTCTTCTTCATCTCGGGAATCTGGAAGCCGCCCTGGAAGAATTGGTCCATGGACATCTCTCCCAGCTTGTCGTCTTTGGCGCCATTCGTCTTTGGCTTCTTCGCAGCTTCTTCTTCTAGGTCGGCGGCCTTTTCATTGTCTCTGGCCTTGCGCTCCCTCTTCTTGGCGTCCATCTGCTTCCTCTGCTTGACTTTGGCGACATCCTTGCGGCGCTTGATGACGTCGCCGAGCTTATCCTTTTGGAACTTCTTGGTCGCCTTGGACACGGGCATCTCGGCGGGCTCTGGCGTCTCGTGGTAGTCGGGCGAGTGGTGTTGACGGAGCGTGCAGCTGGTGGTTGAAAAACTTGGGCCTCGAAAAAGTTCCAGCGCTAAGGACCCTGCAATCACTAGCGCCTTCCCCACGCGGTGGATGGATGCATGCTTGATTGAGCTGGCGCCGCCGACGCATCAACGGACACGCAACTGGAGCTTGCTGCCCTCGTCCACAGACTGCCTTGTTCCAGCCATCCAGAATGTCTTACGGCGGCAGGCAGCTGGCCTACGCGCCGACGCCTTACATCCCGCGCTCCAACCTCTCCGCGACCATCAACCTTGATGAGGTATGACGCGCCCAGCCCACGCCCGATGCGCATGCTCACTGTGGCTCTAGGAAGTCAAACTGTCTGCAACCAATGCAGAGCGCGACTTGAACGACTCGCTGGCCGAGATCTACAGCATCATCATCACGCTCGATGCCATAGAGAAGGCCTACTTGAAGGACTCCATCGCCGAAGCCGACTACACCGAGACATGCAACCGGTTGATGAAGCAGTACAAGTCCAATCTTGCCAATGAGACAGTCGCGCAAGCATTTGGCACTCTGGACCAGTTTGCGAAAGAGTGGCAGGTACGTAATGGCACGTTGAGCTGCTTCCCTCTGCACTATGCTGATATGGCTGCAGATGGAATGTCCCCGAGCCATCGAGCGACTACGCGTTGGCATACCCGCGACTATCGAACAAGGTCCATCGAGACCAACTCAGGGAGGCGACTTTGCTGATGCGACGCTCGTCGTCAACGCGACCGAGACTTTCATCACTCTGCTCGATGCCATCAAGATTGGGCTGGTAGAGAAGGACACATTGCATCCTCTGCTTGTCGAGATCATACAAGCTGTCAACAAGGTCACAGACGTCGATTTCGAGAGTAAAGGCAAGATTGTGCAGTGGTTGATTACCCTGAACCAGATGCGGGCGGCCGAGAAGTTGAGCGACGAGCAGGCGCGCGAGTTCCAATTCGACATGGACTCGGCCTACTATGGCTTCAAGACAACCCTGAAGAAGGCTTAGAGGATTGGCAACATGTCTCTTTGTATTCTCGTGTATGCGCTGCTCGTGGTGCCTTGACTTTAGCCCCGCCATGGCTAGCTCGGGCCCACGTTGGACCTTGGTGAGTACCGCCGCCCCGCCTACCAACAATTTTCCCGCGCCTTCGCCATAGTCGGTCCAACATGGCCATGCTAGACGGTATACACCTGCGCCTTGCATCAACCTGTCTTGGTGCTAAATCCGCATGCAGTCCTCGACCTACCCCAGCTTTACACCAAGCCCTCCGCAGAGGCCCTCCTCTACACGCTCGCGCTCCTCACCACCGGTCCGCGGTCATGGGAATACACAAGCACGAGTGATGAAGCCGGTAATCGAGTGGATTCTGGTGAGCCTGTTGTCCAGGTCAACCCAGAGGGCGTCACACGATACCTCACTACTATCATCGGTAGCGGTTTACAATGGATTCAAGACGATGAGGTCAAGGAGCGCATCTGGGATCAGGCCAGCGCCCGACTGAGCGAGCGCTCCGGTCGATCTGCCATGAGCACCATGTCTCGCACATTCCAAATCCCTACCGCCTCTGAATCCTTCGAGCTCAAGATTCACGAGCCTGCTATGACAGGCGACGATCTAGGCCTGAAGACATGGGCTGCTTCATACATGCTTGCTAAGCGCCTCAAGAACTTCAACCTCGTGCTGCCAGATACACATGAGAGGCTACAGGTCCTGGAGCTTGGGTCTGGTACCGGTTTAGTAGGATTAGCAATGGCCGGCCTTGGCGCAGACGTTGTTCTGACAGACCTGCCCAGCATTTGCCCGAACCTGGCCTACAATGCGCAGCAGAATCGAGAAATTGTCAGTCTCAATGGTGGAGCAGTCCGCACAGCTGTGCTTGACTGGACACATCCCACTCACTGTGAACCTTTGCCAAACGTCAACGGTACTGGCGACAATCTAGCCATTCCTGCAAAATTTCCCTTAATCTTGGCCGCAGATTCACTATACTCTCCAGATCACCCACGCATGTTAGTTGATACCATTGCCGCTTGGCTTTCTCCGGACAACGACGCTAGAGTAATCATCGAGTTTCCATACAGAGACTGTTACTTGCCCGAGATCAAGGACTTCCGTCGCCGGATGCTTGAGCTCGGCTTAGAGATATTGGAAGAGGGAGAGGAGAGGGGACGGGATGACTGGGGACCGTCAGAGACAAGCGAAGATACAGATGATGAAGCGCTCGTGACTTGCTGGTGGTCATGTTGGAAAAGGCAAATTTCAAGGGCCAGCTGAGAGATGCTATCAACATTGCCGCACATTACCCTCCTAGAAGAACCGGCGAGGTTAAGCTAAGGCAAAATAGCAAGGTGCCCCCACAAACCGCATGACCCGCGATTTGGTTTGGTCATTCGCATAACCACGGCGCTCAATAGCGACCTCGGAGCAATGCCGAGATATCCACACGAACTTTCCAAGAACAGTGATGCAAGCGCCGGATAATTTTGACGGATAATTTCACTGCTTCCAGACTCCCGCCTTTCGGTGGAGGGGCACTCCTAACCAGGGCGGGATAGCTTGCCGCGAGCTACCAGGATCCACCATTTCCTTCGTCATTAGCATCTCACTTGCGCGCGGGTTTTGAGAATTGACTTTCACTTCTTTCTTCATATACGGTTGCCCGGAACACTGTTGCGAATAAATCTATAATCTTTTCAATACCTCATGATGGCGACACAAACGGCGACCCAGAAGGTAAAGCCATGATGCCCCACCATCAACCCCTCCATACATGCTTTACCTTGAAAACACCACAACAAATGGTCTTGACGCGTCGATTATATACACCAGTAACTAACAAATCTTCAGAACCCTTCTTTCATCCTCCAAGCCAAGGACAAGCTCACCTACGAAGACCGACCAATTCCCGAACTCCCCTCTCCATACGATGTCATCATCAGACCACGATGGACCGGTATCTGCGGTTCGGATGTGCACTACTGGGTTGAAGGGCGCATCGGTCACTTTGTAGTTGAGAAGCCCATGGTTCTCGGCCACGAATCAGCTGGTGTCGTACACAAAGTTGGCGACAAGGTCAAGAGCCTGAAAGTTGGTGACGAGGTTGCTATGGAGCCCGGTGTGCCTTGCCGCCGTTGCGTACGATGCAAAGATGGAAAATACAACCTTTGCCCTGACATGGCCTTTGCTGCCACACCCCCATACGATGGCACACTCGCGCGGTATTACACACTGCCAGAGGACTTCTGCTACAAACTTCCCGAGAACATGAGCATGGAGGAGGGTGCGCTTATCGAGCCTACCGCTGTCGCTGTACACATCACAAGGCAAGCTGCTATCAAGCCCGGAGACTCGGTCGTAGTATTCGGTGCAGGTCCCGTCGGTTTGCTGTGCTGCGCTGTCGCAAAGGCATACGGCGCAAAGAAGATTGTGACTGTAGACATCAACGACGAACGCCTCAACTTTGCACTCAAGTACGCCGCAAACGCAAGCTTCAAGAGCCAAAGAGTGAGCGCACAAGAAAACGCCGAGAATCTGATCAAGGAATGTGATTTGGGTTCGGGCGCAGATGTCATTATCGATGCGTCGGGTGCTGAGCCCTGTATTCAAACCGCCATCCACGCGCTACGCATGGGCGGAACATATGTTCAGGTACGTTTCTGTCTGCTCGTCCATCTTCAATTAAAACGATACTAATCAAAAACTAACAGGGTGGCATGGGCAAACCCGACATCAACTTCCCCATCATGGCCATGTGCACCAAGGAACTCAATGTCAAGGGCTCCTTCCGTTACGGCTCAGGCGACTATCAAACCGCTATTGACCTCGTGGCTAGCGGACGTATCTCAGTCAAGGAACTCATCACCGGTAAGGTCAAGTTCGATGAGGCGGAGAAGGCGTTTGCAGATGTCAAGGGTGGCAAGGGCATCAAGATATTGATCGAAGGCCCTGCTGAGCAGTAAAGCTCTTCTCTTTTTTTTTGATGTTTTAGTCGTAGTGGTTCAGAGGTTTCTCTATGAAGGCTTTTGTCAATGGGTATCATACCCGGTGGTGTGCATTGGTGCTGGGGTACAGAGCAGGGAGGTTGTGAAGGAAATATCGTAGGACCGCTAGACGAATCTGAGGTCATGTCATCATCAAATCCACTTTAAGCCTCACGAAAAGTGCATGTAGTGTGATAGCGATGTCGCTTGTTCTAGCTATTGAAATCATGGCTTCGCTGTTCCCGGGGTAAGACAAAAAGAGGGCTAGTAGGAACCCAGGCCCTGAGGCGCAAGCTGTTAGAGGGCCGTTAGGCCAAGGCATAGAGACGGCTGAGCGAAGTAGCAAAAAAGTGGAGATGGAGATGGGGATCAAACGAGGGGTTGCCTCAGGTCTCTTAGTAGCATGGCGCGTAGAACTCCGACCCTAGAGAATGAATGTATGGGATGTTAGATGAACAGATTTCAAGCATAGTTGTCATGAATTTCTCTTTGGGTTATTCTTAATTTGTTCATTTGATTTGGGTTTCGTTCTTTTGATATGGTTGGTTGATATCGTAAGGTGGTGATGTTGCTCTTCTTTGACGCTAGGAATGAGCGCCTTCCGCTCGTAAGCGGTTCGGGAAAAAAAAACAATCGCTAAATCAGGGTCTGCCAGAGAGATGGGGCGTACGTCGTCTACGTGGACATGGTACATGGTAATGCGAGAAATGCGTTTGAGGGTATAGTTTGTGTGAAGCGAAGGGGTTCTTTGTTGCTACAGTGGCCGAACTACGCGGTCATCTTGCGTGCTGTGGAGCCGCGCTTGGGTAGAGTCCATGGCTCGGGACAAACAACCTGTATTAATGTTAGCCGAAGAATTCGTTGAACAGCTGAAAGGAAAATGTTCATACCTCGCCCTCGCTAAATGCCCAGAAGTACGCTCCCATGCCGATGATGTAGTAGAGTCCCGAGTTGGTGCCTTGGTAGATCAGAAGGGCACATAGTGCACTCAGTGGGTAGACGATCAGGCGGGCTTCGATTGAACGATGTAGTCCGGTGCCTGCGAGCAGCGGTAATGGCCATTCCCAAGCGAGACCGATGAAGCCGAGGATGATGTTGATGATTTGTAGTACGGGCACAGGTTTGACAGCGCCATCGAGGTTCTTGGTGAGGAAATCCCAGAAGATCTTGGGCCAGAAGAAGCATTCAAGTGCAGCTCCTATTTGATCTAGTTGTAGAATTAGTACTGTTGCTGAGAGTGGGGTCCGTTGCTAAGATTATGACTTACACGCAGCAGCCGTGAGGATGACTAGGCGCGCCCAGTGGTTCTTGATTAACTTGCCCATTGTCGAAGATTAAAAAGAAAGGATACGAGCAATAAACCGAGCCCGCGGTCGTATAAGAAAGGGAAAATAAAATAGAAAAACGTGAAGAAAGAAAGTAAACGGAAAATGTCCCTTCGACTACCAGTAGCCTCAACGACAGATGAGCATCGACTTTGGTTGGGTGTGGCAGGGCGGGTTTTGTTATAGTAATGCCTTGTTCGCAGCGGCGGTTCCCAGGCAGTGCGAAAACGGCAAGGCTTCTTTGTGGTCAGGCACGGGCAGTACGAGTGGAGTTGATAGTGGACAGGTATTATGGATGGCTGAGGCGTAGGCGAGTATCAGGCGTGTTAGGTGTTCAGGCAGCGTGGTGTTGCCGTTGAGCTTCGCGACGTGAGGTGTGTCAGTACGTCAGGAGCGACAGCGGATGTCGACCGCAATTGTAGAGACAGTTTATGCGCCAGGGCTTGCATCTCAACCCTTGTAGCTCTCGCTCGGCGAGCGCTGGGGTCGAAGATGGTGCCCTCGCAGCCGCTTGACCCGCTTCGCCAATGATTGTGCGTGTGCAACACTTGATTGGCTGGCTGCTGTGATGCTGCATGCGACGCCAGCCTCTCTGCAGCCACGGTGCCAGCATCCTGGATCGCGCCGCCATTTTAGTCTATCCTATGAACGGCTGATGCTCACCCGCTTGGCACAGGTAGTGTAGCGTGGGCGGAGCTAGGCGTGTGAATCTTTGCATTCACGTGGCTAATGGCGAAAGCAAGCTGCTATTGTTGAAGACTTGATGACTGTTCTACGGCTTGGACATTACTCGATGGTCATACCGCCATTCTCTCGGTAGTGGTGATTAGGTTGTTGATGATTTGAAAAGCGCGCTCTGCGCAAACCGGTCTGCCATGTCCGTGTCGCCGCGCAAACGTGTGCCGTGAATTCTGCTCATCGAGTAGGTTGTTCTCCACAGCTATCGCCATGTGCGGCACGGCAGTACTCGAAAAATCCGTCCCGACGGATGCCTGAGTCCCGGTTTCTGTTCTGTGCCTCAGGTTATCGAACCGCGAACCTGGCGCATGACGATCAGCCATCTGCATGGAAGATGGTATCGAAGGACCCTCCTGGTTACTCAGGCACGCTCATCAAACAACATCATACGACAAAGTTTACTTCAGATGCATCTCGTGGCTTTCAATGCCGTCACGGTGGGGTTTGGCAGCCATGGCAGACGTTGAGACAAACAAAGTGGTACGATACTCGTTCGGTATCAGTTCGTCGTGCCAGTGAAGCTTTTCACAGGGCCCTGTCGGAGAATTACTTGTGGTTAACGAGGCGTCGATCAGAGTCCATGTGCGATTGTGTGTAGAACAATGGCCTGATGTTGTTTTCTGCACGTGTACTTTGATCCATCGTCGAGCAAAAGGAAGGTGCTGCTACCAGACGTGTTTACGCCGTTTCCCAATAGGGAGAACCACGATATTCCATCACCGAGTCTTGGAATCATAGAAGCATACTTGCCTACAAATCAGGCAGTCTGGCCCTTTACCATCACTCAGCATCGCAACCATTTGCTCTCTCATCACATCGCCCAGAACCACTTCTTCTCGGCTTTCTTCGCACTGCACACCGCTTCTCACATCACGGCCCTAAGGTGGGACTAATGAGAATTGATACTCAAAATCGGCCATCCACGAGGCCGGCAATTCGCATGTTGCCGTTCGTCCAGCCGTGTTCGATGGAGTCGGTCCCAAAATAGAGGCGAGATCTTGTACACCTGCAGCCCAGCACAGCGCAGTAGCGGGCTCAAACTTTGTGGGGGTACTCGAGCGCTTCGAGACAGCCGTCCATTGGCTGCACGCGCCACGCCAATGTTCGCCCGTTAGATTTGGTGCTACCAACCACAAGCACAGAGTGCCTTCAACAGCAATGAATTCAAGCCTCGGCGCCTCTAACGTAAAAGCCACGGCAGGCTCATACCATGATTCTTCTCGCGTCTTCGGTGCCGTCTTCTGCGCAAGGGGCGGTAGTTTAGGAGCAAATCCGCCACCCAGACAAGTACCTGCAAACGACTGTCCCCGCCGACTGTCTACCACAGTCATATTACCAGCCTCTGCAGTCTAATCTAACGATATTTACGAAGCGAATTCCACTTTCAGCGATTCATTGAGATACCCGGCCTGAATTCTCTACTTCTCGGACACGGCTTCCAACGTACATCGTTTCAGCACGTTCCCGCCTACGCCTTGTACACCCCATCAGAACTCTTGAGCTCATCTGTCATCTGTACCCCTCAAAGAACACCGTCCGAAACCTTGCTACGACGGCTCAGGCTCATCTGTCAGATCGCATCCAAGTCTAAGGTTTGACAGTTGCAGATCGTACAAGTTGCAGCATTCCAGGGTTGTCTCCGTTTTTACCAGCAGCCTCACCAACACCAACCCCCAATAAACCCATTAGCGAAACGGTCTTCGCTTCGCCGCATACCGGCATAGACTGAACTGCGCATTGTCCAAGATCAATCGTCCATCTTGAGGCTCCGAACATACCACCGTCCTTGCAAGGAAAACATGGTTCTGTGCCTGGCGCTTCAAGTCTGAGACGCTCTTCACACACTAGCTGCTTGCGCATAGCCGCAAGCCCCTCCACCAACTTCAATACCCCAAATCCAGTCCTTAGGCTCATTCAGGTTTGGCGCCACCTGAATTCCTCTGCATCACTGCTCTTCCTGGTCATCTCTTCAGTCATCCATCTTAACACACCTGGTATACGGCAGACTCGTGGGGCATCGGTTTGAGCCACTTCCGTACCGAACAGGGCCTGTCGGTTTCAGCACAGCGTGCCGCTCTATCCAGGTTTCCACGGCTTTTACCACCTGATCTGCGCACATTGACTCGGCTTGTTCCAAGGCTTGACATAATAATACCCTTGGTGCCCGGCAGCCTTGGATCGTCCTCCACATCCGCACGCTCTCTCCCTACATCACTCCCCTCGTCCCGGGACACCGACATTCTTTTCTTCACTTCGTATCTGGCTGGCCGGGTCGAACTTCGACTGGATCGTTTATTTCCTGGTTGAGGTTCGCTTATACCACGCGTATACTCTTTAATCCTTTTCATAATAACCGTTGAACGGCACACCCAACGCAGACTTTGGACGAAACATAAACCGGTTACTGCAAAAGATACTCCATCATGGGAGCAAGCGGAGGCACATCGTTCGCTAGGCTCTTTACGCCACAAAAGATAGCCTTTCATTTCTTCTTCTGGGGATTTCATTGGGCCCTTTTCGGTATAGGATGGTAGGAAGGTTGTGCCTGTATTGTTGATCCTATTTACTGACTTAATGCAGGTGGAAACAACAGGGTGATGCACGTTTGGCGCCACTGAATGCCCTTCAGTACTCAGTATGGGTATCTCGGGGTGCAGGTCTTGTTCTGTCTGTTGACACAATGGTTATCGTCATGCCTATGTGCAGAAATATCCTCCGGTGGCTCCGCCCGAAAGTGCGCGTGCTGCCACTTGACGAGTCCCAATGGTTCCACCGACAAGTCGCCTACGCTATGCTGTTCTTCACTATCCTCCACGTGGCGGCGCATTATGTCAAGTGAGTCGACAGTGACCTTATCGAGGCTTTCAACATGTACTGACAAGCATAGCTTCTTCAATGTTGAACGTGTGCAGGTCC